AGAATTACACTGAATGTAAATAGATTAAATGCACCAGTCAAGAGACAGAGAAGAATGTATAAGAAAACAGGATCCTTCAATATACAGTCTACAAGAGACACATCAGTGAGAGTCACAAGAGATCCTAACCAGAATAGCAGTGACAACAGAGATGGTGACGGAGGCGATGGCATAGAAAGGTAGAGCAGCTGAGGACCCTGTAGGTCCATGGACTGAGAAATGCAATGTGCCTGTGGGCAGGAGGCCAGCTTGCAAAATGTGCCCTTTGGACATTTAAATGAATATATATGTTCAGTGTGGTACATGTACACAAACAACAACAAAAAACGGAGGATAATAGATGGAGCATGGAGGGGACTGTAAGCATTACAATGATTTATTGAATGTAAAACTGATCATCTGTCCTGTAAACCTTCATTCAATTCATAATTAAAAAAAGAAGAGACATGTCAGAAAGATGGAGACAACTTAAATGCCCATCAACAGAAGAATGGTGAAACAAACTTTGGTACATACACACAATGGAATACTATGCAACATTGAAGAATATTGATGAGTCTATAAATACCTCACAACATGGATGAACCTGGAGGATATTATACTAAGTGAATTTAGTCAATCACAAAAGAACAAATATTGTATTTGTCCAATGATAAAATATCCATGATGGTTGTCAGGGTCGCTATGGGTCAGAATCGACTAGACAGCAGTTAACAACAACAACAACTTGAATGTTGTAGGGGGATGGAGGTGAAATTATTCCTAGACTAGAGGGTTGACACATGTTATCATGGGTGACAGGGCAGGCAATATAATACAAAGTGGGAGGTTAACAGAGGAAAGATGAATATAGCAGGAGACACAGGGAGGAGGAATGCAATAGTTAAAGTGAATAGAGGATAAATACTACTAACTGTTGATACATAGAAGAGATTGCAATCATTATAATGAAGCAAAGTATAAGATTTGCTGAAGGTAAAACTGATTATCTGCTCTGGAAACCTTTACTCAATTCACAATAAAAAATTAAAAGAAAATAAAACTTGGTAACAAATTAGAAACTCCATAGTAAAAGTTGTGAGATAAAGTTATGAAGTTTAGAAAACAGAGCCAAAAGACAAAGAGATGGAAAATAGGAGAAAAGATAAAATTAAAGGACCATTTCTGGAATATCTAATTAAGAGTTCCAGAATGAG